GGTCCTTTGACATTTTAAATGTAAAATGTTAAAATATAGTATAAAGTATTTTGGGTTTTTCAATATACAATTAATTGGGTTTTTCTTAAAATACACTTAATTAAGGGACTTAATTGATAAAATTTTTCAATTGAGACACCTTACTAAATAAAGATAAATATAAAAAAAGTGTGTAATTTTAAATACAAATAACTACGTAACTAATTGAGAGTGTAATTCAATGAAAAAAGCCTTATAATACTAAATAGAGTAATAATAGTAGCTATTTTAAAATAAAGGTAGTGACTATTTGGACATTAAGATAATCACCATTAATTAATCATGAGTTCTAACAGAAATTCTTTTATATAAACTTAGTGCACCACATCGTTTACTGTCTATCCAATAAAATTACACTAATTTAATCAAAAAAACATGATGTATCATTATTTTTAATAAACTCATTTTTATAATAGAATGTCCATTTAAGTTCTTGTTTTTTTCTCTACTATTATTAATGTTAGAATCAATTTATTTTTAATATCATGTTTTTATTGAATGAATCATAAATGACGTTGTGTACTAGATTCATTTAACAATTTCTATTATTATCAATAGCTCAAACTAATCCAAACCATACTATGTGAGACTGTTGTCATCAATGGCAACCTCTCGAGTATGCAGAGGTTGATTTTGTCATTTTCATTTAATATGACAACATATCTCATACTTGAATTTATAATCTTGAGATAAATTGGTCCAACTATCTTCATTAATGAAACCAAGCACTTTCTATAGATCAGTTTGAATTTAATAAGTTAAGAACAAAATAATATGCAATTGATATATATATATATAATTTATTAAAATCTGTAAAAGTAAAAATTTATACAATTTAAAATACAGTCATTAGAGAGTTGTGTAATTTAATATGTTTAAATATTATATTGATTTTGAAAATGAGATAGCACAATTCAGAATTTCAATAACGATGATTCATTGCTGCAATCTACTATATATTTATCATTAAAAACTTCTTTTATATCAAGAGAATTTGAATTATTACTCATGAAAAAAATTTGTGTCAAGATCTTTTCACAACTAAAATTCTCAAATTTAGTATTTCTTCTCTCACGTTTTAGCACTAATTTTTTTAAAATCTTGATTTGGTATTAATCTTGTTATCAAATCCTTACTTATCATTTTCCCTAATTTTTAAACATGGAGGCATTTTTCTTAATATTATGCCCTTTCAAATGCTATCAAACCATGGGTAGAAATTTGGGCACAAAAATACATAAATATAAGTTAATGCTCCTTTTGTTAAAAAAATATAAACAAGCATTTTAACTGAATCTCAACCCCAATAAATTAATTAACTATATTTAAATAAATATTATATTTTTATATTTATCTTTATTTAATATGGTGTTTTTCTTAAAAATAAATATAAAATAATAATCATTATTTCAGAGTTCAATTCTTAGATACTTGTATGGAGAACAAGAACATTGCTTGGGAGAAGATAACTCTCTACAATGGTGCTCAAATTTTTTAAGGGATTATTCTCATGGCTACCGACTGTGGAGATATCCTAAGAAACAAAATATATATATATATATATATATAATGATTTATTTACGAAAAACATATTTGGAAACAAATACATTAATTACATATTAAAATATTAAAACTACCTTACATGTTTTAATGTATGAAAAAGCTACACGCAACCTCATAAAACGTGTGAAAAAGTATTGGGAAAAAAGGGCTGAATGGAGCATAATAAAAACTATGATGTTGATTTATGGACTAGTGAAAAAAGATATAACTGATTAAGCGTGAATTTTTGAATTTGTTTCCATGTAAGCGTGAAATATTTTTGAGAAATCTACTCGTAATTCCCAACAATGGTTGAATTCTAACCAACGAAATAACTACATAAAAAAACTATTATGTTAGTAATTTCTGAGCATTATGCATGATTCCTTATGAATTTCATATGTCATATTGATATTAATGGTTTGGTGATTCATATTTTTCAACAAAAGTAAAAGAAAGAAAAGAAAAGAAAACCCATTATATCCGCGCAACTCCACGCGACCCAACTCTCATCGCACGAGTAAATCGTTTTGATGCATTGAACAATATTTTATCCCTCCAACACTTTAAAGTCTCAGTGACATAATTTAATTTTTAAAAATTAACTATCATTTTTCAGTCATCGAAGAAGGATTTATATCTTTACTACTATCTACCCGTCTTTTTATAATTTTCTATAATAATTATTGATTGATGATTCAAATCATGGCAATTACAAAGCCTAGTCATACCAAATTTCAATAACAACAACAAATAATGTACTATTTATACACTATCAACATTGGAATTTATTCATGCAAAATGCATATATAGATTCATATCTATTTTGAGTTATTTTTACATTATAGTTTTAATTTTAAATCTTTACTCACATCACGTTGTGCTCTCGTCACCTAAACTGGTCTCGCTAGGTAAAAAGATGCAAAAGATTTTGAAGTTTGAACTCATTTTTTTTTTTAAAAGTAAAGGTATGGACTTATTTGATTTACTGTTTTTAGAATTTTTTTATTTTAAAAACAAAAAAATCTGTTTTAAAATGTCTTTTGTTATCTGGTTTAAAGAAAGTCAAAAGTAATTATAAAAAATTAAAAAAGATTAATATGTAATTTGAATCTTAAACTATAGATCTAAAGGTGATTTAAACTCTACACTTTAAAAAAGTACATTCTGAATGCTAAACAATTAAAATTATAGTAATTTCACCTCTATCGTTAATTTTTAACAAACATCTGTCAAATTCATTTAAAAAATTACACTTTAAGCCTCAATTTAACATAAGTTTGTTGAAAGTTAGCGATATAGGTAAAATTGCCCTAACTTTAACTGTGTAGTGTTTAGAATGCACCTTATTAAAAGTTTAGGGTTTAAGTTGACTCTGAACCTATAGTTCAAAATCCAAATTACATATTAATCCTTTTATATTTTAAAAAATATACTCTAACTAATAATAATTTAACAAAATAAAAAAATGTATTCTGTATATTATATCAATTTTTAAAAAGATTTTGAAGGAGTGTAAGTTTTTTTATTCAATTGATCAATGGAGGCAAAAATCTATGAAACAAAAACAAATACTTTTATGATAAATAAAGATATAGAGAAAAAAATATATGAAAAATAATTTATTCTAGATTTTTTCTTAATAAAGAATGATAATTTTTTTCACCAATATTATTATGAGATTCCATTACATTAAAGAACAAACTGAAAAGAATATAAAAGTATGCTTATAGCAAAAAATTATATATCGCTCCTATTGCTGCAACTGATAGTGTCTATCAAAATCCCACCTATCAAAAACAAAAATAGTCAACTCAACACTATCTCATTCATTTCCATCATAATTTTACCAAAAATTATTTTACTCATTATTATAAGTTATAGCTTTCTTTTATATAGTGTCATTGTCATTATCATTATTATTATTTACCTTTTTTAATTTTTTCTTCTCATATCCTGAAAATTTTGTAATATTACCAAGGGTTAATATACAGTTTAAACTCTAAACTGCAGATCCAGGGGTGATTTGAACCGTAAAATTTTAAAAGAATGCATTTTAAATTTTAAATGATTAAAGTTGGGATAATTTCACTTTACCGTTAACTTTAAACAAATGTCTGTCAAATTTGAGATCTAAAGTATAATTTTTCTCAAATAAATTTAACAGACATTTGTTGAAAGTTAACGGTAGCAGTAAAATTATTCCAATTTTAATTGTTCAGAGTTTAGAATGTACTTTTTTAAAATTTAAGGTTCAAATTATCCTTGAACTTATAGTTCAGGGTTTAAATTACATATTAACCTAATTAAAAAAACTAGAACCCCTTTTTAATGTTTTCTTACTTTTTGTTTTGGAAAACTAAAAAAACAAAAAACGTTATATTTTCATTAATAAAAATTATATTTATAAAATAAATAATTTTTTTACTTTTTATTACGCCATTTTAGATATTTTTAAATAATAATTTAGACATATTTTTTTTCTTCAAAACTTATTCTAAGAAACTAATCCATAGAATTTTTTTAATAAAAAAATAATCAAAAAAACTCTATATATATGTGTATATTTGATTTTCTAACTTTATATAAGATTTTATTTTAATCTTTTAATTTTATAGAATTTTTTTTATCTTTTAACCATAAAATCCTTAGTCTTGTTAACATAAAATGCTTACATTAAAATTTCAAGTGCTGACGAAGTACCATTAAATATTAACATATTAACTTTATTTTTAAAAAAATGATTAAATAAAAAAATCATTTGACTGGCTCTTGTTCGTATGCTTGAGTGAGTGAAATAAAGCTTTTATCACTTAAATAAATAGTTGTGGTTCAAATCATAATCTTTATATACATGGCAACTAATTGAGAGGGACCGGTCTATCTTTTGCCTTACATTTTTGTTAGCATTTAAAACTGAAATTTTGATGCCAAAAATATATATTATAAAGTCAAGATTGAAATCAAAACTATTTAAAATTAGAAGATTAAAAATCAGATTTTTTTTTTTTTTAATCACAACACTTGAGCGCGTGAGGCATAATTGATATTTTTCAGGTGTTTTGTAGCATAACAAAATCAATATGTGATGTAGCCAACAACAATATAATTGTTGCCAACTTTCACAGGAAATAGGGGTTTCATTTTCTTTCATTCTTTTATCTCAATTAAATCAAAGTTTAAACAATTTATATTTAATATTTAATAAAATATTATTTAAATTTTAAAATGTTTAGATCACATTTTAACAATTTAAAATTCATTTTTATACTTTATATAAAATTAAAATAATAATTTTGTCAAATATTAAATTTTCGAACCCCATCCAAACTTCGACTACCCCTCAACTGCAAACATTGCCCGAGTTCAAAATTAACCTAACCATGGTTTGTTGTTTGCAGTTAGAAGTTAGAGAGAGAGAGAGAGAGAGTAAGCCGTATGGTTCGTTGCATTTCTCTCTTAAAACTCTCCCTCTCTTCTTCTCCGACTCTTCAATTTTCATTTTTCACACACTGCCCTTCACTCTGCATCGACGACGCAAGACAGCCTTTTTCTTTCATTTTGATTTGAAAAAACCTGATTCTGAGTCTTCCCTTTTGCTTCCTTGAACTCTCTAACCTGCTTTGAATGTCTGTTTCTACTTGGACTATGGTTGTCGCTCTGTTCTCTTCACCCAACGCAGCCTCGTCCTCGCCTTTCGCCTGGTTGGTTTGAATTGTTGTTCGGGTTTCTCTTCGGATTGTTTGCTTTCTTTTTTCTTTCTTGTCTTGTCTTGTCTTGTTTTTTTTGAACCCAGAGTTAAAACTTGTAAGATCTGAAACTGAAACTAGAGGCGTTGTGCAATATTTCACGAGGGTTTGTCATTTGTTGATACTGCTTTATTGAATTTAAGGGGCTGATGAAAATTTCTCTGATGAGTTGAGATTTGAATAAGGGCTGAAAAGTTTGAGAATTTTGTTTTCGTTGCTGGTTGATTTTTCTTTGGAGATTAGATATGAAGCTTGAGTTGGGTTTAGGAGGCGTGTTGTGGAATGATGAAGAAAAAGCCATGGTTGCATCGGTTCTGGGAAATCGAGCTTTTGAATACTTGATTACGAACCCTGTTGCGAACGACAATCTGTTAATGACAGTCGGAAGCGACGAAAGTTTGCAGAACAAGCTTTCGGATCTCGTGGACCGTCCAAACTTATCGAATTTCAGCTGGAACTACGTTATTTTCTGGCAAGTATCACAGTCGAAGAAATCTGGGGATTGGATTTTGGGTTGGGGAGATGGATGTTGCAGAGAACCCAAGGGAGAAGAAGAAGAAGAAGTTGGAGTTAGAGGGCTTCTTACTCTTTGCCTGGAAAAGGATGAGATGCAGCAGAGGATGAGGAAAGGGGTGCTTCAGAAGCTTCACATGACATTTGGGGGTTCAGATGAAGACAATTATGCCTTTGGATTAGACAGGGTTACTGATACAGAAATGTTCTTTCTAGCTTCCATGTACTTCTCCTTCCCTCGTGGCCATGGCGGGCCTGGTAAATGCCTTGCTTCCGGGAAGCATGTATGGTGCTCTGATGCCCTTACCTCTGATTATTGTGTGAGATCTGTTTTGGCAAAATCAGCTGGAATTCAGACCATAGTTTTAGTCCCTACTGACATAGGAGTGGTGGAATTGGGTTCTGTGAGGACGGTAGGAGAGAGCTTAGAATTGTTGCAGGTGATTAAATCAGAGTTTTCTACACAATTGTCAATCCCTAGGGTTTCCCCGTTTTCACCATTGCCTGTTGTGGTGAATGAGAAGAGAGATGAAAATGGTATCTTTTCTGGCTTGCCTGTAGGGGATAAGGTGGAGGGAGTTCCGATGATTTTTGGGCAGGATTTGAACTCAGGAAGCTCTGGTCGTCCCCATTTTAGGGAGAAGCTTGCTGTGAGGAAAATGGAGGAGAGGCCTTGGGCAGGTCATATCCAGCCCAATGGCAATAATATTAGCTTTCCAAGTGCACGGAATGGTATTCATGGCTCGAGTTGGGCTGCTAGTCAAGGTGGGAAACAGGCAACCCCTACTGAGATCTATCCTCCGAGATCCTCAGGTTGCAATGTGGCGGAAGGAGTTAACCAGTTTAGGCAAGACTTGCGGCTTAGCAACTACCAACCACAAAGGCAGGTGCAAATGCAAATTGATTTCTCTGGAGCCACTTCAAGGCCTTCTGTGAGACCGATCAATGCTGAACCAGAGCTATCTGATGTTGAAGCTTCATGCAAAGAAGAGCAGCTGGGCGCAACAGATGAAAGGAGGCCGAGGAAACGGGGTAGAAAGCCTGCCAATGGCAGGGAGGAACCCTTAAATCATGTGGAAGCAGAGAGGCAAAGGCGTGAGAAGCTGAACCAGCGATTCTATGCTCTAAGGTCTGTCGTACCCAACATATCCAAGATGGACAAGGCTTCTTTGCTGGGAGACGCCATTGCTTATATCCATGAGCTTCAAGCAAAACTCAAGATCATGGAATCTGAGAGAGAGAGATTTGGAAGCACTTCAAGGGATGTATCAGCATCAGTGGCTGATCCCAAAGTGGAAAATCACAACCAAGCTACCGATGTCGATATTCAAGCTACCCAGAATGAGGTGATAGTACGGGTGAGCAGCCCTCTCAATGCTCATCCTATTGCAAGGGTTATCCAAAAGTTCAAAGATGCACAAATCAATGTCGTTGAGTCGAAATTTGCAACTGCAAATGACACCGTCTTCCATTCCTTTGTAATCAAGTCTCAAGGATCCGAGCAGCTGACAAAGGAGAAGTTGATTGCAGCATTTTCTTGAGAATGAATCCTTGTGCTTATAGCCACTGTCACCAATTGGATTGCACAGGGTAGTTGCAATTAACTGTAGTCCATAGGCTTCACGATACAAAGTGAAGAACCATTTTTGAAGCTTCCTCAGAAATTTTGTTATTCGGCAGAGGATCCCAAAAAGGAAAAGGGCAGTGGAAACCAGAAGGTGTAGTTGTAGAATAATGGCTCCTATTAACCAATTAGAGCAGAAAATTTATGTTTGTTTATAGTATACACATTTCATCATACGAAGTGTTCCTGCATATTGAATTATTTCGTTTAGTTTAACCAATTCCACCTAGTGTTTCTAGATCCGCTGTTCTTTCTTGTATGGTTCCAAGTTTTGTGCTTAAGAGCGAAAGTATTATTGAATTTTCTGCTGCTTATAGCACTGGAAGGGATCACAGGTCTTAGCTCTGTGAAGCTGATAATATTAAGTTTCCATTTTATTTTGATGGAGATGTTCTTTTTCCTTGACGAGACACTTATAACTGTTCGAGTTTGTTAAACAATTGGCTAACCCGCCTTTTTTTTTCTTTTTATGTGACCACTTTTTGAGGTTCTCTTGTTTTATGGTATACGCGGTTCCCGGGACAGTATGCCTTTGACTTGGTTTGATTTGGACTAGGATGTTCTTTTCCCGACTTATATTTCTGTCTCATATATTCCCCTCTGGATTCTTCATGAGAAACGCTTACAGGTCTTAACTAGTTGGTTTGATTTGTTATTCATGGAGCTCTTGTCAAGCTACCGAGGGTAATTTCATTTCGGCTTTCTTCTCTTAGATTGGCCACAACAACTTAGCTCTCAGTTTCTTCCCTTTCTGTCTCGGTTAGTCTCAGTATCTTTAATTTTCTCATCTGTTTGAAATAAAATGAAAGGGTGTGTTGTCAGCAGGTCATGCTAAACAATTCGCGTTATCCGAGGTACATTATGTTGCTCTTCGATTGTGCCACCAGTTGAAGACAGAGACATAGAAACCATAAGATGAGGAACTTTGTTGTCTTCATGTAATCTAACTAATTGCATCAGGTCAGCCTTTCTTGTTTACATTCATGGGGCTCATTGGTTACAGAGGATGAAGAAGAATGAAAAGAATAGATGGGTATATACGTGTTGGGGGGGGGGGGGAGGTAGTTGAGCTTCTTTCTGATTTGGCGGTTGGCTTGTGTTAAGAAAGGAAAAGAATACTGCTAGAAGGGAGGAAAAGAAGGGAACAAAGCGGTGTGTGGTTGATTGAAGAAGGCGAGTAACCGCAGTAACTGTAAAAAGATTCTCGGGTATGAGTGAGAGCGAGGGCGCCTTTTGCTTTTATTTTTATCCAAGAGAAGGAGAATCTTGGATTGGATGCACATGAAAAAGTTGAAAAAGCCTAAGGCCTAAGACCACTCTTCTGATATTTTCCTCTTTTTTAAAACCAAACAAATGCCCGCAAGTGAGCCCTCGGTGACACCGTATGAAATTTTAAAACACTGGGCGGGCCCCACCGGCACTCCTAATCCGAAACGTGACGTGTCAGGAATAGAGAGATTTGAATTATTAAAAACGTTCACGTGCTGGGGTCGTGTCAGCCAATGACTTTTGTCATGACAGGAATCATGCGGTGCATGTGTTACCTTATAAAAGGGAAAAATTAATTGGTTTGTATAATTTTATTTCAATTGTAATTTAATTTTTAAATTTTATTTTTTATAATTTAATTTTTATAATTTTAATTAATTAAATATTAATTTTTTATTTAAAGAATAAAACTATAAGGATCAAAACTATAGTAAAAACTATAATTTTATTTTTAAATATATAATGATCAATATTTTAAATGGTTGAAATTATAAAAACTTTGTTATAAAAGTTAAAATTTAGAAATTAAATTACAAGAGAATCAAACCTACAAGAATCAAGTTATAATGAATCAAAATTCAGTGATTGAATTATAATTAAGTCATAATTATAGGGACCAAGTGACTAATTTTTTTGAAATATAAATATTGAAATATTAAGGTAAAATACACCAACCCCCTCTATTCAATATTGAGGAAAAATTAATTATCTAGTTATATAATTTTGATTCAGTCATAATTTAGTCTTTAAATTTTGACTTGATACAACTTGATTTTTATTTTGTTTAATTCAAAATTTTGGTTCTTATATTTTAGAATGTAGAATTATAAAGATTCAAATAATTGTTGAAATATCCTTGAAACTAAACATAATTAACAATTCAAATCTATGGTAATTAAAAGATTAACCTTTAAGGAGATTATCAAGTTATGATTTCAAAATAAATGGATCCCAAGTTCTCTTAAGTTGCAATGAGTTCAAACCATTCATCAACTTTAAAATTAAAGTAAAACAAGTTACAAAAGCATATGATACTTTGAAAGAGTGAAAGAAATTGAAAACAGTTAAAAAATATCAAATTTGCTAAAAAATAAGTAATGTGATGTGGCTTGTGCACCTTATGCCGCAGTTTATTGCTTTATGTGCTACATGTCGTGGCTCAGGCGCTAATGCGCCTTGGCGTGTTACACATTTTATGACAGCAGATTCTGCTGTCATTTAATAACAATATTGGGTAACTTTTGACGCGTTTTAAATCTCCATCCGATGTTCGAATGACATAATTTAAGTGTCTACGAAAAGCTCTTTTATAAACTAATTAATAGCACATGTTTCACTTTTAAAATAAATCATACCAAGAAGTTGGACATTTAAATATATTTTTATCACTTTTCACAACTTTCACATGTAAAAGGGTGTCCAAAATTCAAAACAAGTATCAAAAGCCATTCCTAACATTCCAAACTATATTAGCACCAGAACTACTAGTACAACACACCACATACAATTAAATAACAATATAGAATGAATCACTTCCCAACCCTTTTAATAACAAAAATAGAAGAGGGAGGTAACTTCATTATATTGCATCAAAAATCCCTCATATCATGTTCAAAACAACATCTTTATACTTATATTAGTATTTTAACCCTATCAACATATATAACTTATCATACGTAATTACTCAAGGCTCAAAATACAATCCAAATATTACAATAAACTATATAATGCAAGTGTGACCAAATTTATCCTAAATTAGCAATGATATTCTATTACACAAAGAAAATGAATACTAGAGGCATACGAAAAGGAATACATAAATTTTTAAGTCTCAAGAGATTTATCTCTCTAAGCACTAAAGCTAGAATATGTAAAATGTTAAAGGAAAGGGGTGAATTTAGCCACTCAGTATCTAAAGTAAATCGATCCTATGCAGTTATATATCAATTAAAAAAAACATAAGAGTATGAAAATATATGCTTATAAAACATGCCTTAACACTTAGTACAATTATACTACAACATATCATATCACAATCAATTCACTTTTTTTTATCACTTGGTGCATAGCTACAAGACACTCAGACATGTGACCATGACCCGATACATCAGCATGACTTGCCATAACTTACTTGTGTGACACATCATATAATCACATAGATAATGATTAATCATCTTTATACCCTCTTTATTTCCTCTGATTGAAATCATGGACTATAGTATTGAATAGGGCTCTATCCAAGTAATTAGACTACTCAAACTCACCAATTATGAGGTGTGACCTAACTAAAGATCATAATACTCACTCTCGGACCATGGCTTCCCTTACTCTCAAATCTCTAGAGTGTTGTATATCCTAAACTATTCTCCTTGGTAAACTAGCAAAGATAGTTAAATTTTAGTCCCTAGACAAACTATGGGACAGTCTTTAGACGAACTGTGGGATAAGGCTATATCCCAATGCACCGGAGGGCAGTCAAAATACCATCTAGATTTTCTTTATTCCTATTCCTTAGGCAAATTCCCGCTCATTGATCATGCCATATACGATGCTCACTCTCTATTCAAATTTTATTTTCAAAATCAACATATTAGGCTCACGATCATGTGCTATCCAAGTGAGCATCAATACTCATTTTCACTACTTTCAAACTCAACACATGCATCTTTATCAAACTCATCATCCACTACTCAATCTTGTAACTCATTACAAATTGCTACCCATTTTAAAATTACTTTTGCACTTTAAAGTTCATTTCACAAAACATTTTCACACCTCTTCTTCACATCAAGGCAATTATGTAAATATATAGTTTCATAACATGTTACACAAATTCACAAATCCCAATTTACATGCTAAACATACATTTTACATTACATAGAAATTAACAATAACTATTCAAAGCAGGATTCCCCCGATTACTCAAACCTTTAAGAGATCAAAGGTTTACCCCTCAATATTCTAAGCTTCCAAACTTGATTCCCAAGCTAAAATTGTATTCAAGAGCTCAATCTATAATTAATCAAGTTAAACTTCATCAACATTGTTAAGAGCACACTAACAACACACATTTTCACTTTTCCATTACCCAACAACATCAATTTTCACGTTTGAGCTTACCTATTAAGTTTATTAACTTTCTTTAGTCTCCATTAACATTGATTAGCCATTAAATTCTCATTAATGGCATTACCATTCTTCTAACAACCCTCATTAACACTAAATTCAGATATTAATGGGGTCCAACAATCAAAAGTATCAAAACTCAATATTTCTAAGGTTATATCCTCAAATCTACTCTCATTAACTCAACTTATATAGACTAAAAATTCTCTCCCAATATCAAACCCTAACTAAAAACTTCATAAATGTGGAAGAGGTAGGAAAAAATAGAGTTTAGGGCACTTACCTTAAGTATTTTTAGTTTCAAAATACTTCCAATATCATCCAAGTACAGATCCTAGTAGAGCTTTCCACTGGTTCTTTATTTCCTCTTCCCTTGTCTCTACTTTTCTACTTCATTTCACAATTATTAATCTATAAAAAAGGACTGTGCGCTGTGGCAGACGCTACCGTGATAGAGGTTAGAGAGATTTAACCTCAACTTTATTAATGTAGGAGAGGTTGGAGGTTCAAGTCTCAGAGGTCCCTTGGGTAAGGGAGATATCCTAAGTACTACTTTGGGGTAAAGTTGGCTTCCACTGTCATGAGATGGGTAAGCCCAATACTAGTCGTGGTCTGCTAGACGGGTGGCCAGTACTGTTGCATAAAAGGTGCCTTTTATGTAACAATACTGTTACATAAAAATGTAACATTTAAAATAAGATAATTAATTTTAAAGTAAGAAAAAAATAAAACATAATTTTAAAAATAAAATCGGGCATGTACTAATTCCTGACTTTACTACTAGATAAATATAACAAATAAAACAATATTTTTAGATAATTATTTGGTTATCATTCATGCCAGACTTGGTTAAAAATTAAAAATAAACTAGAGTAAATACCTCTTGTATGTAGGGGTTAAATAATATAAAAAGTTAAAGAAAAAATTTTAAAAAAAATATTATTTTATTCATAATTAAATAATTTTTATTTTATACAATATAATAATGGCTAGTTTTCTCATATTCTTTA